CCCCGGGTGGCCCCCCCAGTACCCCGGTGCCCCCCTCAGGTCCACGACCTGTGCGACAACTTCTGTCACCGCTACATCACCTGCCTCAAGGGGAAGATGCCCATCGACCTGGTCATCGAGGATCGGGACGGCGGCTGCAGGGAGGACCTCGAGGACTACCCGGCCTCCTGCCCCAGCCTCCCAGAGCAGGTGAGCCCCGGGCACCAGCCGGCGAGCACATTCACGCGCACGGCTGCGGAACCATCCGCAGACGCGGCCACACCCGCACAGCTTCCCACGGGGCCAGCGGATAGTTATAGCCACCCCCACTCGCGGCCAGGTGTCAGCACACGCTACACACTTAAACACCCCACAGCCCCGCTCCAGGCGCATAACAGCGGCACAGGTCACGCAGCCTGGCCGAGATACCGTCATTCCATAGTGTGTGCCTACGGTCTACATCCCTCAAACACAGGACGGCCACACAGATGGTGACCGAGCCAAGCGGCCCCAGCTCCTGCCACGCAAATCAGATACAGCCACGCCTAGACCCAGACTGACCACGATGCCCGCACACTCGCACACACGCTGCCCTAACCACGGAGCGGCCGGCCTACGGGGGTGCGCACGCACACCATGCCGTTCATCCTCCAGGCTCGGAGCCCGGTTTCATCAGCAATCATACCACAGCCCCGCCATGCAGATCCCAACAAGGGTGACCCCCAAAAGGCGGTCACGCGATCGACACACCTGTAACATGCACCGAGCCCCGTGAGCGTGATGGTCACTCACGAGTCACTCAGAGGGATAACCGTGTTCCTCGTCTGCACGCGGCCTCCGATTCAGTCCCTTGGCCGTCACCCCCGCCCCCCGACAGAGTCACAGAGCTGCCCGCCCGATCGTGTAGGAATCAGGACAACCGCACATTGTGTGTGTCACCAACCCCGCGACCTAAGCCACAGACTTAGAAACGTGTGGCTTTGTGATAGTCGGCTGCAGCCACCTGGCCATCTCAGAGCGACACAACCCACCATGTCTCAGCTCCACCCCACAGCCCCCTGCTCTCCTGGGCAGACACAGGCACTCACACCGCGTGCCATGCGACGGTCTCAGGAAGGGTCAGGTACGCCGGCGTGGGGGCTACAGTTGACAGTTACAGCAGCACTCAAAAGCCTTCAGACCTGACGACTCCACAGTCAGCACACGAGCCACACTCAAGAAAATGATTCCGCACAGACGTTCACGGCCTGCAGACGACTCCCCTGAGTGGCTGTGTCTTGGGGCCGTGCCCCAGCAGGGTGCAGACGATGCTCCCACACTGGGCCGTGTAGGCAGGGGTCATTTACAAAGCAGCAGGCAGGGTCTAGGGGAATCCGTAGGGCAGGCAGGGTGCCTCAGGGGCAGCTGTTGCCAGCACCCCGACACCCTGTCTACTCCCAATGTTGGATGGAACCCTAAGCTGAATGACAGAGAGGCCTTGGTGCAGGGCGTATGGGTGGGTTGGCCTCTGGGGACACAGAGCTGGGGCACTATGTCCCCCAAGGTATGTCGGAGTTTGGATAAAGAAAACACACTCCTGGACTCCCCGATCTACAGTTCTGAGACCAAGTCTCTAAGAACTGAAAGTTATTTTTTTTTCCCCCAATAAGTTTCATGCAAACTCATCTGGCAGCAAAATCTGACCTGAACTAATGAGAGGCTATTTATAGCCTTTATTTATTCCACTTAGTTAAATATTCATCCATTTCACCGCAGAAATGTTAATGAGCTTGATGACGAGGTTATGCCCCTGCCGAGGGCGTTATGAAACACGCGGTGTGTGCGCTGATCTACTGTCGGCAAATGTGAAAAGCTCTGAATCCTGAAGCGCCTCCAGCCCCCAAGGATTTCCGATAGGGTGCCGTCGATCTGCAAAAGCTCGTCCTTATGGAGCAAGCGCTCTGTGCCTTTATGTAAACGAACTCATCGAATGCTTCCCACGCTGTGGGATACTGTGCCCCGAGCCTGCCTATCGACTCCCAGCTCTTGTCTTCCAGAATAATACGTGGATTAGAGACCATGAGGACAGTGGGTCTCTACAGCTGGGGACCCCGGGCCCGTCCAGCGGGGGCTTGGCCTCGCAGAGTGGGGACAACTCCAGTGACCCAGGTGAGGAGCTTGGAGGAAGAGGGGGGATGTGGGAGTCAGTCCGAGGATTGAAGCTGGACGGCAGTTAGGACTTTCCGGGGGGCAAGATGGCTGGCTTGTGGGGCGGTGTCTGGGGTGAGGGTCCCGGGTCCCTCCGGGCCCCCACCCTCGCCGTCTGCAGAGGTGACGCGGCTCCCGCCCCTCAGGAGACGGGCTGGACGCGAGCGTGGCCTCGCCCAGCTCTGGGGGCGAGGACGAGGAGCTGGACCAGGAGCGGCGGAGGAACAAGAAAAGAGGCATCTTCCCCAAGGCGGCCACCAACATCATGAGGGCCTGGCTGTTCCAGCACCTCTCGGTGAGGGCCGGGGGGCGGGGTGGGCACAGGGAGGGACGCGGAGGATGGCCGCACAGAGACCCGGACACGGGAGACCAGACCGAGGCAGCGGGACCCCCCAGGGAGAATTTCAAGGAAATGACGACTGGCCAGAAGTAAACATCCTGAGCACGCACGACCTGTGTGCCGGGTGCTGCTAAGGGCTCTTAACTCATTTGGTCCCCCACCCATGGGACCACCCATTGGCCCATCTATTCGCCAACCCCATCAGTCATCCACCGTCCAGCCAAACCTAGCCTGCGAGGGCAGGGCTGTGCCGCCTCCAACCTGCAGGGAAGGAGTGAGGCCCAGAGGGAGTGAACCGCCAGAAGCGGGTTCAAATACAAGCAGGCTGGCCTTAACCACTGCACCACGCTGCCTTGTGGGGAGATGGGGAAGAGAGAGACAGAGACACAGACACAGACAGAGACAGAGACACAGACAGAGACACAGAGACAGACAGAGAGAGACAGACAGAAACACAGACACAGACAGACAGACAGAGAGAGACAGAGAGGTTAAGTTAGGGAGAGCCGCGGAGACAGAAATAAATTGGAACGGGGAGAGACGAGGACCAGGCCCTGACGGAGAGACTCGGGAGGGACTCCGAGCGGGTTACGCTGATCTGTGCTTCCTTTCCCAGCAGTGGAGTCCCCAGCTCTGTCTCTCTCGAATGAGAGCTGGCCAATTAGCCTCTAATTGCTGAAAGAAGGGGGGGGCCGCCCGCAGGCCTAATTGCTCCAAGCTTGGCTCAGCTTCCCTCTGCTGGGCCCCCGGGAGCAAGGCGAAGCTCAGACGAGCTGGCTGTTCCGGCCTCTGCCCCAGCCTGGGCTCGCTATCCTTGGGGACGGGGCGGGCCAGGCCTTGGGGCTCAGGTGGCAGCCCGGCTAGCGGGGTGACTCTTCCTGCAGCACCCGTACCCCTCGGAGGAGCAGAAGAAACAGCTGGCGCAGGACACGGGGCTCACCATCCTGCAAGTCAACAACTGGTGAGGGACCCGGGGGCTCGCGGCGGTGGGGAGCGCGGGCGGAGGCCGGGCGCTGTCCGCGGTGCTGAAGGAGGCCGCGCAGCCCCTCGGAGCCTCGCCCCTCGCTCCCGCCTTCCCTCCCACCCCGGCCCCTTTCCCCGCCTCTCTCTCCGCGTCTCTGCGTGTTCTTCCCCGCCTCTCTCCTGCCTTCTCTTAACATCCTCCCCCCCGTTGCCATGGCCCTCTCCCAGGTTCATTAATGCACGGAGACGCATCGTGCAACCAATGATCGATCAATCCAACCGCACAGGTACAGGGAGAAGGTGGGGAGAGGGGGCCTAGTGCTCCCCAAGGAGTGTCAGAGCTTAGGCTCAGGCATCCCGGGGCTCAGCCTGCACCCCTCAACCTCTCTCGCAGGACAGGGTGCAACCTTCAGCACAGAGGGCCAGCCCGTGGGGAGCTACACGGAGACACAGCCACATATGACCGGTAGGCCGCCAGGTAAGGCCCCGCCCCTTGACTAAGCCACGCCCCCAGGACACCAGGCCCCTCCTCTAAATGGCGATGCCCCACCTTCTGGGATTCAGTTAATGAATAATAATAAGGGAACCGATGATGTAAATATAGATTGTCCGGTGCCCAGGTGCCTACCCGTTGGAAGGCTCCGCTTTTTCTTAAAGGACCAAACACCCTCTTAACGATGCCTCAGTCTGTCCTGACAGAGGACTCCCCGGCGAAGAACGCGGTGGGAGGGATTTCCGGGGGCTGTCTGGCGAAGACTCACTGATCCTCCTCTTTTGTCTTCCAGGATCGATGGGGATGAGTTTGAATTTAGAAGGGGAGTGGCATTATCTATAGAGGCTGGATTCAGGAGACACGTGAGTGCCCCGTGTCTAAGGGCGCTGGGTTGGGGGCTGTGCAGCTCTCGAACCTTCATAAGACCCCTGGACTCCAATAGCGGGCCACCTAGAGCAGCAGCGGCGGGGACCCCTGAAGGGAGGGTTCTCCGAGGTTTGGTGGGAAGATGATCCGTCCATCCATCCACACATATACACGCCAGGTGTACATCTCCAAACGTCCATTAAGCTCTCATGCCATGCCCTGAAGTGTCTCAGGTAGGGTCCTGACCCTGAGAAGATTCTGGGCTTGTGAGGAAGTGGACATCGGAAACCAGTGGCAATCCGGTACACCAGCTGCTCAGAGGAGATATCAGGGAAGACTTCGTGGAGGAAGCGGCTTCTGGGTGGGGCATCGAAGGATGAATAGGAGCTCACTGGGTATAAGTGGGGAGCAAGGTACTAGGGTACATCCTTTTACTTTCCCAGGTCTTAAGGCTTTTGAGCATCATCGTAGTTTGTCTTCGCGACAACCTCAAGACGGAAAAACTATTACTTTCACTTTACGGATGAGAAAAACAGGCTGAGAGAGAAGAGGTTACTTGTGCAGGTTCATCCAGCTCAGAAAAGCAGAGAGAACAGCACGTGCAAAGGCCCAGGCTTGCGAGGCTGCCTGGAGTTTCTAAAGCCCAGATCAGAGCTTGACTCTCCCTGGGTTAAAACCCTTCTGTGGCTCCCTAGTGCCCGCTGAATGAAGTCCAGACTCTTTAATTTAGCACCCATCCATCCATCCATTCATTCGATACACATTTCATGAGCACCTCTGTGCCTGGCCCTGTGCTGGGTGGTGCTAGGGACAGAGTAGTCACTATGACGACCCAGCCCAGCCCTAATGGGGCTCCCAACCCAGTTGGGGAGACAGACTCATCCCAGACAGTGACAACGCAGAGTGGGCAGGGCTGGGATGAGGGAACCCAGGACCTGGAGGAGCTCAGCGAGGGCATCAGACTCAGGCCGGGAGGTTCAGGGAGGACTTCCTGGATGAGGGGACTTTGGAGCTGAGACCAGGAGACTAGGAGCAGGGGAGAGAGCATATGCAAAGGCCTGACGCGCTTAGAGACCTCACAGCTGTGAGACAGCCTGGATACACACACACGAGGGGCAGGGAGGGCTGGGCTGGGTCAAGGCTGGTGAGCCAGGTGGGTGAGTTATAGATTCAGGACCAACAGAAAGGCTAGGGAATGAGAATGGAAACCTGGGAGGGCTTGGCACGGAGAGGCACTGGGGGCCTGAGCCTGGGAAGGAGAGAGGTGGGTTTGTTCAGAGCCTGGCAGGTCAGTGGGGCGGGCAGAGGGGGGGGCCGGGGATGGTTCTCAGCTCTGCTCTGACCAACTGTGGACAGGCGTATCCTGATCTGAGTGTCAGGGGACCTCTAGGGTCACAGGTGATGGCGGGGCCTCCTCCTCCTAGTGGCCCAGAGGGCCGTCTTTCTTTCCTGCCCCCGTTTCCCCCGCCCCTTGTCTTCGTTCCTCTGTTTTCATTATTTCTGTCTCCGTTCTGTGCGTCTCTGCGTGTCTGGTTGCTTCTTTCTCCACATCCCCACCTCTGATGCTCTGTGTCCCGCTGTCCCGCTGTCTCCCTCGTTTTTCTTTCTCTGTCTTGTTTCTTTTTCTCTCTCCCTCCACTGTGGTTCTGACTCTCCATCTTCCCCTTTCTCTGTCTCAGTCGCTCTCACGGTGGGACTGGGGGGGACGGCACAGAAGAGCGGACGTCAGGGAGACCCCTCCTCACTTCCTGACTGGGCCTCTCCTCCCCTCTCCTCAGACCCCGGCCTGCCGACTGTGCCCACCGGGCTCACACCCGGCTCCGGTCCCCGCCTGGCCCTTGGCCTTCAGGACCCCGCCTCCTATGGCCCTCCCACTCAACGCCTACCTCCCTGGGGCCCCACCGGGACACGAGGGGGGGCCTGAGCGCCCGCTTGAAGGTCTCTCAAGGACCAAGACAAGGCCTCTGGGCTCTGCGCCCCACTTCACCCTCCCGTCTGCCTGGAACCCGAGCTGAGATCCTGGGCCTGGGTCTTCAGAAGATGGTGGCCGGAAGGCCCCAGCCTCTAGGACAGAGATGGAATTGGGGGTGGGCTGGGGCCGTCGGGGGAAGAGGGTCACCCAGATCTGACATTTGGGGAGGTTCCCTTCGCCCTCCCAGCCCATTCCCCTCCTCCCTACCTTCTACCTCCCTTTCTCTGATCTACTTTTTTTTTTTTTAATGAGAAAGTCTTAAAAACGAAAAGCCACGAATCTGAATTCTTGGGTCTCCTACAAGATTCAAATTCTCGCTCCTTCGAAGCTCATGAATCGATCAGTCCTTATAATCACTGATACTCTCTATCCCGCTCCGTCCTCGGGCATTCCGTGTGTATCCGCTTTCGCTGTGTAACAAACAACCCCAAACTTCGCGGCTCAAAACACCCACTATTTTTAAGCAAATTGTTCTATGGGCTGGTGTCTTAACGAGGCTCAGCTGGGCAGTTCCCATAGTTTCGACAGGGCCTTCCTGAGTATCTGTCGCCAGCCCCCAGCCAGCAAGGGGACTCTACTTCTGGGTCACCTCGCTAGCAGCAGGGGCCACAGGAGTGACTGGGCCGTACGGTCACGTGGGCCAGCAAGCCTGGCCTGTTCACACAGCGGCTTGGCTGGACTCCCAAGGGAGGGCAGAGGGGCCCGAGGCCCAGATTTCGCGCTCGGTATCTCCCTACCCTCCGTTCTCCTAGCCACAGGCATCTCAGCCCAGCCTGGAGGCGAGGGAGGGCAAGGACAGGCCGCCCCTCACTGGGCAGCGCTGCTGAATCACCTACCAAGGGAGGTGGGTACCGGGAGGGAGGAAGAATGGGGACTACTTCCCACACGCGGCTCCCAGATTATGTTTTGTGGGAGACGGGCAGGCTGGGTATGAATGGCCTCACCCACTGAGAGAGGGGCTGACTGTCAGGGGTTCAAATCTCACCTGGGGAACATGATGCTGCGATCCCCTGGCCAAGTGACTTCACCTGCCTGGGCCTCAGTCTCCTGATCGGGAAAGTGGGCCTAACGGCAGCAACACCTGCCTCCCGGGTCTGCTACGCCGATGAACGGGACGTGCAGGGGGAGAGCTGACGACGCTGCCTGGCGTATGGTAGGCGCTCAAGGTCAGGGGTCGTCGTTTGTAACCGGGAAGCCGCAGGCCTGAGCTGAGGACGGACGGACGGACGCGGTGCCCTGGAATCGGGCGGGGAGCGGAGCGAGTGATTCTGAGGCGCGAGCATCTTCGCCTGGGATTCGTTTGTTCAGGCCGCAGGTATTTTCTGGGTTCTCTGTCTCCAATGCTCATGGCAGTGAGCCAACTCTGCCCTCGGGGAGCTGCTGCCCCAGCGGGGAGGCCAGCGTGGGTCCGGTAAATGGTAGATGGTCACGTTGTCCAGTTCGTTAGGAGCTGACAGGCAGTGCAGGGTCGGGGCTGGTTTGGGCTGCCACCATTATGCATTTATTCTCCCTTATCTCGTGAGTGCTGTGAGCCAGGAGCCTTATCCTACCAGCCCAGGAAAACCCCCACCACCTCCTAGAGAGTGGGAGGGTCATCATCCCCACTCCAAGGTGAGGAAACTGAGGCCCAGAGAGGCGAAGCCACTCGCCAAGGGTCACACAGCCGGAGAGTGTGGATCTCCATTCCAGCCAAGACCACCTGGCAGCTCCGTTCAGCTCAATGGCCTCTCATTTTAAAAATTAGAATTCCAAGATTCTATGATTTTTTAAAGGGCCTAACCAGGACTGTTTTCTGGGTCGGATATAGTTTTGGTGACTGTGATCAGTGCTCGTCTTTCCCCAAACCTGCCAGAATCTGAGTGGGATAGATAGCAGGGAGGACTTGCAACCCTCCCTCCCCCCACCCCGCACTACCTCTGAAGGCATGTGGGGACAGGTTATGGGGGAGGGGACAGGGCTGGGCTGAGCCCAGAGGTCTACTTCAAGGGGAGGCCGGTGCATTCGTGCGACCCCCGCCTGGCCAGAGGTTGGGGGAACACGGGAACGCTGGCGAGTGGGGGAGGGGCAGCTCCCTCTCCGCCCGCCCATCCTCCCCCACCTGCTCCTGGTGACTGGAAATGCCTCTCACTTAATTCTAATTAAACCATTGAATGTACCTCCAGGAGGAGGGGAATTGGTCAGGAGGTTAATTGTAACTAAAAATACCCCCCTCCCCCCACTTCCTGGAGCGAGGAGCAAGCGGGCAGACCCTGAGTTCTAGGCCCCCCTGTGCACTGGGTGGGCATTGCTGAGCGGACTCCGGGTGCTGCTATGTGTGTCTGGGTGGGTCTGGGTGGCAAAGTGAGTGTTTATAACTGGGTTCCGCCTCGTATGTGTCCACGGCAGTTTGTCCCTTGTGAATTATGGTCATCCAGCTCAGACGCATCGGAATGTGGGGCAGGCAATGAGCCTGGCTCCCTCCAGAGGGCGCCAGAGAGCCGTGGAAGGTGTTTGTTTAACAGCTTTGTTGAGATGTAGTTCGCAGAGCATAAAACCCACCCATTTAAAGCGTGCGGTTCCACGGCTGTAGTTCATTCACAGAGGTGTGCATCCATCCCCACAGTCGACTGTGGAATATCTTCATCACCCCAAAAGGCCACTCCCCGGCCCCCAACCCTAAGCAACCACCAATCCACTTTCTGGCTCTATAGATTTGCCCATTCTGGACTTTTCACATAGATAGAACCTCACAGTACAATGTATGGTCTTTCTGTGTCTGGGTTCTTTCACTTGGCATAATGTTTTCGAGGTCCTTCCATGTTGTAGCTTCATTCCTTTTCATGGCTGAATAATCCTCCATTGTTTTGGAAGAATTTCGAGCAGATAAGGGACATGGTTGGGTTTGTGCTTTGCCCCTTGGGCTGCCACGTGGAGGGTGGACCAGATGGCGTGTTACAGGTCGCACTGTGGCCCCCTAAGGGATCTACTGAAGTCCTGGTGAACGTGACCTTATCTGGAACGAGGATCTTGGCCGAGGATCAAGTTAAGATGAGATCACAGGGTGTCCTTATAAGAAAGGGAAATTTGGACGCGGACAGGCACTCGGGGAGGAGACAGCCACGTGAAGATGGAGGGCTGGAGCGAGGCAGCCACGAGCCACGGGTGGCCCGCAAAAGCACCGGAAGCCGGAAGGGGCCGGGGAGGGAGCCCCTGCAGACCCCGGGGGGAGCACGGCCCTGCCCACACCTTGGTCTGAGACCAGTTTTTGTTCCTCTATGTCACCCATTGGGTGCTGGTTTGTTTTGGCAGCCATGGGAAACTGACACAGGTAGTGGGGGCGGAGACAGGGAGGCCCCAGCAGGGGCGGGGCTGTGGGAGAGGAGGAGGGGCAGACTCGAGGACTGCTTAGGAAGGCTAGCAAGGAAAGAACTGGGGAACTGGGGCCACTCGTTAGAGAGGAGGGCGCCATCCAGTTATCACGTGTCACCTCAAGGTCATCGGTGTGCTGACCTTAACAGCTCATGGCGGGCAGGTAGAGGGCCAAACATAACCAAGCTGCGGAACAGCGTGAGCGGGGAAGAGGAGGCAGAGGCCGGACAGGGAGCAGGTATGGAGACCGGGGGTGAAGATGTGAGTGTTCCACGTGAACCCCAGGATGTAGGTATGAGGGCGTTCACTTCTGCCGAAGCCTGGAGATGATCCGAGGTGTAGTATAAGCAGACCGAATCTTGTCTATCTCAGATAATCCAATGATGGAATGCTGACCCACAAAAAAAAGAGAAAGATTTAAAAAAAAAAAAAAAAGGAAAGCAGAAAGGACCTAGGGATTGATTGGAAGCAGTAGGTAAGAGAGAGGAAAAATCTAAATCTGTACTCAGGTTTCTGACGTGAGAAATGGCCCCCAGGTGTAGTATAAGCGGACCGAATCTTGTCCATCTCAGATAATCCAATGATGGAATGCTGACCCACAAAAAAAAGAGAAAGATTTAAAAAAAAAAAAAAAAGGAAAGCAGAAAGGACCTAGGGATTGATTGGAAGCAGTAGGTAAGAGAGAGGAAAAATCTAAATCTGTACTCAGGTTTCTGACGTGAGAAATGGCCCCATCTCTCTCTGATGTCACACCGGTAACGGACAGGCACGTCTTGGTTGCCTGTATTATTGCATTGGGGGTAATCGGGATTTGCGCCCGATTTCAAGGCTTACTATAGTGCTGTGGCAACCAGGACGTGACATGGGGATGGGCTCCGACAAACATCCATGGGACAAAGCTCAGAAACGGGCCTGCGCGGATCAGTCCACTGATTTTCAGTGAAGGTGTCTAATTCAAAGGGGAACGAATGGTCTTTTCAACAAATGGGGCTGGAACGATTGGACACTAACATGCAGGAAAATGAACCTTGACTCGGCTCCCATTATACATAAAAACTGGAAATCGATCATGGGCTTAACAGGAAAACCTAAAACTATAACATTTCTAAAAGAAAACAGGAGAAAAAAAGTCACGACCTTGGGAGTAGGCAAAGATTTCTTAGGTAGCTCAGGAACAGTACAAATAATAAAAATAAAAATATTTAAATAATAAAATAATAAATACAAATAAAATAAGATAGAAATAGGTACAAATATAAGTAAAATTTTAAATGACTAAAAATAAACAATACAAAAAAGTAATAGTAAAATAAAAATTTTAAAGTACAAATAAAAGAAACATGATAAACTGAACTTCATCAAAATTAAAAACTTCTGCTCTGCGACAGACACTGTTAAAATTAAAAGTCAAGTACAGACTTGGAGAAAATATTCATGATACATATGTATGACAAATATATTTACATTTAAAGAGATATGTAAACTATTTGTTTTATAATTAACTCTCGTCGATAAGAAAACAAAGAACACCTTTATGAGAGACAAATATTTAATATAAACTCCAAAAAATATATAAATGGCTAATAAGCTCGTGGAAAAATACTTGACGTCACTAGTCATCGTGAAAATGCCATTCAAACTAAAATAAATATTAGACTGGCTTCAATAGCAAATACTGACAGTAGCGAGTCGGTGTGTGACACATTCGGAGCTCTCGCCCGCTGCTGGCGGGAATGCAAACTGGTGAAATGCCTTTGGAAAACAAATCCGAACAACCTCCCCAAACTGAACGCATGCACAGGGGGCCCCCAGCCGGGCTGCAGGGGGCTGGTCATGGTTTGTCTCCTGGTCTGGATGCCGGTGGGAGAGGTATGTTTCATTTTCTGAAAAAATTCACCAGTGTTCACTTATGATCTGGGCGCTTTTCTGTATGTTATGCTTCCAGAGTTCTGGAAGACTGCTGGCCGAGGCGTGCACTCTGTGCGTGGAAGGGTCCTGCGAGATCGCCGCCCCCGACTCCCCTCCTGGCGGCGGGGTGCCCACCTCCCCACAGGCGGGTGGCGGCGAGCGCCTCTCCCTTCTTAATCCCAGCCAATCCCGTGTTTATTTCACACAGTTGTGGACAGGCGAAGCCACAGCCCCGTCTGGAGCTTTTGTGCACGTGCTGGACCAGATGTGTCCCCAGGAAGTTAGTGGGTGAGAAGAACATCTGGTACTGCTAAGGCCGTGGAGTTCGCCCCTGAGGGTCCGCGACCCCTGGGTGTCCTCGGTTCTGACACACCCTAATGGCCATCTCGGGGCATGAAGTTCCCTCCCTCCTGGCAGATTCTCTCACACTCACTCCCCAGGAAGGAGTGGGTCAGACACCAGGAGACGCTTAAGGCTTCTGGGGGGGACACCGGCCAGCTTTCATTTTCAGGCCCCCCAATATAAAGAACTGTTCCTTGCTTGTAGGTCATTCATTTTACTTTATTTTAACATGGAAAAAGGAAGGAAAACAGGAAAAGTCCTGAGAAGCCATGTTCTTAAAATGGCTGGAGATGAGGCGGGGGGGATTCTGAGGTTAGTCCCTCCCTTTACCCACGTATTTGTCTGTTTTTAATGCTTTGGGTTGGGGAAGGCCTTGTCAGAGACCATAACAGAAAACGGATAGAGGTAGTTTTGAGTGAGTCAAGTCACCATGAACAAGCAGACCTAAAGATAAGCGGCAGATTAGGAGAAATGTTTGTCACATCTGTAATGAAGCTTAAGACCCAGAATATATAGAGAGCTCCTATAAACCAATGACCAAGCGCCCAGGAAAAAAATATAGTCAAAAGGTTGGAGCCAGCACAGAAGAGGAAATACAAATGGCCCAGAATAATATGCAGATGCTTGGGCTCACTGGCAATCGGGATATATAAAAATAATGCAAATCGGTGCAGCCTATACAGAAGGGCATTTGGGACAACCTATCAAATGACCTGTAAAAATGCACCTTCCCTGGGACCCGTGATTCCGCCTCTGGGGATTTATCCTGCAGAGACACACGAATCCGGAAATTACATACGCACAGGACGTTTGTGCCAGCCCCGTCTATAGGCGCGAGATTGGAAGCAGCTCAGCTGTCCCTCCGCACAGGCCCGGTTGGGTAAACGTGGCATGGATGGGTCTGCAGCCATGCAAACGGACGAGCGGGCTTTGCGCTGACTCAGAAAGATCTCCAGATTACACTGAGTGTGAGCCGCGGAGCCGTGTGGGGCGTGATCCCACGCTGACGAGCCAAACACTCCAGTACCATGTGCACGTGACATCAAAGAGTCACACACCAGACACGATGGAGTGACGCATGGCCGTGCCCTACGATCGATCACCTGGGAGAAAGTGAGGAGGCAGCTGGTCCCGCGCCTGTGTGGGACGGCAGGCGCCCAGTGGGGCCATGGGAGAGTGGCCGGCGGTCAGGCTCTGGGTTTACACTGAAGCGGGGGCCGAGATGACGCGGAGGCCCTTAGCCTGTTGGGGGAGTGGAGGTACAGTTACTGAGCTGCGGCAGAGGCCACTGATTTGGGCGAACACAACTCCCAAAAGTAAGGCTCGAACATCTTGGTTGGTGGAGAGAGAGACAGACAAACAGAAGAGGAACGTGTGAGTGATAAATGGGTTAAACACCGACTTGTGGAGCTGGGACTGTCCTGCAGGCAGGGGGCCACACTCGCCCGGGGCTGCGTGAGCCTGGGACGCCCATCAGGCCCCGTCCGGCTCATCCGGCTTCGGGCGTTGATGCTGAGAAGGCGCTGGGGTGAGATGTGCGGCCAGGGCGAAGCCGTGGGGCTGTACCGCGTGCGCCAGGAGGCAGGGCAGGGCCCCGCGACATGGAGATGGGGAGGAGCCCGGGAGCAGGGGAGACCGGGCCCGGTGGCCTGGGACTGGGACCGGGACAGATCTGTGGCAGGGGCGCCCTGGGCCAAGGCAGGAGGTGCCTCAGGGAAGGGGGGGCGTGGCCAGAGTCTGAGGGGACAGGTGAGGGGACAGCCAGAATGACCTGCGGGCCCTGTAGTGGCCCCGGTGGCTGTGCTGGAGTGCAGCCTGTGGTCTCGCGTGAATACCAACACCACCGTCCTCACCAAGTCTGAGTGACGCACGCGGTGGGCCAGCGCGGGTCTCCCTAGTTCACAGGAGCGCGGACTCAGCACGCGCTGCGGCCAGAGGCGCTAAGATCCCGTCCGAGCACCGACCCCTGGGGCCCTCAAGAGCGAGACCATGGGGTCCGACAGGGGACACGGCTCCCTTCCGGGGGTAGGACAGGCTTACAGGTCGGAGTCAGTATGTGGGACTTTATTCACACCCCGCCCCACAGGGTGAACAGGCCACTGTCCCGTGGCCAGGCTGGGGGTCCGCCTGGGGTCCTGGTACCCGGCCTGGGCTCACACGTGCTGCCTCCTGTGCCGTAGCACCTCCGTGGGCGTGAACAGGAAGTCCTGCTGGCAGGCCTCACAGTGGTAGGGCCTCTGCAGGGCCGACGCCTTCTGCTGGGGCTCGGGGACAGCTTCTTCAGCCCCTAAGGAAGAGGAGAGGGAGGCTGAGGGGGTGCTCAGCTGCAGGCTCTCACCCCCACTCAAATCCCGGCACCCAAGGGGCTCAGCCTCTCCTAGCCTTTGGGGAATTAGGATCTGCCTCCTCCAGGAAGCCTTCCTTGATTAATCTACACACACGGGCAAGTCTTTGCTGCACAGGGCGGAGGCAGAGAGACTGAGAGCCCGGGGTGGGGATGGCAGCAGGCACCATGCTGGGGTCTGCCCACTGCAGCACACCCTGGGTAACAGTGGGGTGCACGCGGCCAAGGTGGAGCTGCGGGACAGACCCACAGAGAGAGACAGGCAGACAGAAGCACAGGGGCAGACCACAGAGAGACCACAGACAGACATGAATAAGAAAGAGGTGGCTCTCCAGGCCTTCCCCATCCTGGGCTCTGCACTTCTGTGACAAAGTCTGCAGGTGGCACCCGCCAGGGCCAGAGGGCTGAGGGCGTCAATCCCCAGATCGTCCAGTGAATGCCCAGACGCTGAGGAAACCACCGGGGGACGGAGGGACGGCCGGGTGGGTGACACCCCAGCCCCCAGCCGAGCCCTTACCTGGGGGGCCGTCCCGCGGGGCCTGGGGGCAGGTGTTCTCGTGGGCCATGCGCTCCAGGGGCGTCAGAGGCAGGTGCAGGCCACAGTGGGGGCAGGTCCAGAAGGTGCGGAGGCAGTCGCTGTACAGGTCGGTGTCGCTCTGTGCAGGTGGTGTCAGGGCTCAGGGCTCAGACCCGCCTGGCCCAGCACGACCAGCCCGGGACCCTCCCCTGGGGACCCTCCCCCAGGGGCTGGTGGGCCCCACACTGAAACTGCATCCCTGGACTTAGAATGGGGGGGCTCCCTAAAGCCCCGTCTTCAGGGTAGGAAGGCGAGGGTCCGAGGCGGGGTCCATGCTCACAGTGAGGCAGTTGTAGGTGAGGAAGTCCGTGACTGCGTAGCCCCCTTTAGTAGGGTGGGGGGACAGGGCAGAGCTGCCGAAGAGGCCGGGGAGGCTGGGGGCCGCCGTGATGGTCTGGGGTCCCACATAGAGGTTCTGGGTTTCCAGCCCCGTGAGCCGCCGGAGCCTGTAGGGAACCTGACGAAGGAGAGAGAGGCGGACTCAGCAAGTCACGCTCAGAGCACCCAGGTCCAGCCGCGCCTGAAGCCCAGCCCTGGACCTCTCGCTCACGCGGGCCGACTGCTTAAGCTGATCACGACGTGGTATCGGACCCTCAGGACCAGTGTCCTGTCTAAAGCGTGTGCGATGCCCCACCCCCACCTCAACTGCCTTCCCCGGGCCCCCCAGCGCCCCACATCCACACCCAGAGTCTGGCCCTTTCCCCTCCTCCCTCTTGACACGTTAGCCCGTCCCCTTCCCCTGGTTCACTGGGTCCCTCCTCTGCTCCAGGAGGTCACCCTGGACTGCACCCTTCTCCCCCGCCCCTGCCACGTGTAGTAGGATCAGGATCAACTCTCAACTCTCAACTCTCCGCCTAAGAGGTGGGAGGCTGGTTTCAAATCTGTCCAGTCCTTCCCGCCCGTCGTCCAGGAGAAGACCCCTCACGGCTTCCCGCTCATCCTGCTCGCCCTCGGCTGTCACCGAGGGGGACCTGAGCGACGCCTGCGGTAGGCGACTGATGAGCCCCGACAACAAGGGCCACAGGGGTTAACAGCCGGTCTCTGGAGCCGGGCCCCGGGGGTCACACCCCGGCTCCAGCCCTTGCCAGCTGCGTGACCCTGGGTTTGTCATCGGCCTCTCTGGTTTGAGAACTCCTGAATTCACGCACATTCAGTGAACTGGAAGCCAGGCCTTCGGGGGGTCTCAATCCCGTGGCGGATGCCCTCTCAGGCCAGGGGTGCGGGTGCCCGGGCACTGGGTACCTTGGATGCCATGAACTGCAGCAGTCCCCTGCTCAGGGCCACCACCTCCTTGTGGCTGATGCGACCATCCTCCTCCTCCTCCTCCTCCTCCTCCTCCGGCAGCCGCCGCCGGGCCTGATGAGCCAGCTGGCGGTCCAGGGCACTTTCCCAGTGGGCTCGGAGCCGCAGCGAAGCCGCCAGGAGCTGGATGGCATTCTCACTATCCGCAAGCTGGAGCTCCAGCCAGCCGTCAGCCACCAGGCGGGAGCAGTCAGCATTGGTGTCCAGGGACCGGCTGAACAGCAGGAGGGACTGGAAGAGAGTGGGCAGAAGACAGGCAGTGGGTGAGACAGGATGCCATCTTAGAGGGGCCCCCACCTGGCTGGGCTCCTGCTCACCTGCCCATTCATCCACCCACTTGTCCATGCATCCACCTGTCCATGCATCCACCTGTCCATCCATACGCTCGTCTATCCAACGTACCCATCGGTCCACCGACCCCCCGCCCCCGCCAAGACGCCTGCTGTGTGCCTCCTCTGAGCCGGCATTCTTCCAGGTGCTGGAGACACAGGTGGGAATGAGGCAGACTGAGTCCCCGCCCTGTGCAGCTGACATTCAACTTGGAGAGATGGACTAATAAAGACTAGAGCGAAATACAGTTTGCTCTGAGAAGGCGGGACTCCTGGCCCGTGTTGGGGGCGGACGGCTGAGGGAGTCTGTGTCTTCATGGGCCACCCACGCGTGCACCTTTGCTGACACTTCTCAAATGGTGTCCCTACCAGTCGTACACGTTGCTCTCTCTACGTTTTATCCTCAAATACACGAATACTGAACGCTAGTTCACGGGACGCACACGGAAGGACACTGCTGTCAACAACTTCGAAGGCATCAAGAAATTCAAAAGGAAAGCCACCTATCGAAATAAGTGGCGAGTGGACAGACGTAGCAAAAGACCAATGCCATTTGAAGAATCTGGGGACTGAGGGTCTGAGTATTCGCCAAACGCGTCTTCCAGCTTCTGCTTGAAAACTGTCACCATGTGTTGGGGAAAGTCCCTTGGGATGCAGGACTGACCAGCGGTCGATGGTCTGGGGGCTGGGTGACGGCACGGGGTGGCGCAGAGTTCGGCTTGCCATTCTGTCTCCTTCTGTGTACGTTTAAAACTCTCCATCATGCGCACGCTGCGGGGAACTGAAATGCCGGGGGCATCTCGGCTGGCGAATCTCTGCCTCCTCCCTGAGGTCTGTCCTTTCCGGCACCGACGAGAGCCCTGGCGCCATCCTCTATGTCCATTTGTGTTTCTGTTTACCGTCCGCCTCCCCCACTCAGGTGTGAGCCCCACAAACCCAGGGAGTTTGTTGTTCCTGACCATGACCACACCCCCAGCACCTAGAAGAGTAATCAGCGCTGGGGGTGCAGGCAGGAGCTCAGTAAATGAACGAATACGTAATTGAGCAGGTTCGAGCTAGGGATTCACGGTGTCGACAAAATCTCCCGAGGTTTGGGGAGCCTGAAGGATTTCCCTCTTTCCTCCACTCCACATTCTCTGGGGTCAAAGCGAGGGGGTCCTGATAACGGGGAGTCCCATCTGATAAGCAGGAGGCATTAGGTGCAGGCTGTGGCCCTGGCACTCTGCCTCTGCCACTTGCTCACTCTGTGGCTTAGGCAAGTGACATGCCTCTCTCCCCCTCCCCCACCAGCCTCTTCTCCTCTAAAGGCCCAGAGCAGCAGGGTGGCGCCCAGTGAGCATGCAGGGTGTGGCAGCTGCTGCTGTCAGGGCTCCCGCTGCCTGGAGCAGGCATATGCGCGCGCGCACACACACACACACACGATCACACGCACACGCACGCACGCACACACGCACACACACACACACACACACACACACACAAACGCGCGCACGCATCTGCCACCTGAGTACGTCCTCGCCCTCATCCGGCTCCCTGCTCCTGCCCCAGGCCAGACCCTGTCCTAGAACTGCCGACCCCTCTGGGAGCGGACAGGCTCCAGGCTCACCGCTGCCTGACCGCATCTCTGGCCACCCTCCCCCCTCACAGACCGTTCCAGTGTTCCCTGTGCACACGTGTGCCTCGGGGCCTTTGCACTCGCTGCTCCCTCTACCTAGGGCATTCTTCCCCCTCCCTCCCTCCCTTCAGGTGTTTGCTCGACTTCGATCTTCGATGCGGCCCACCCAGGTCGCCTTCTTTCACACTAGAACCTGTCCCCTTCCCTCGCCCTCCATCCACCCTTCTAACCTCCTGATTCTCTTCACCTTCCCATCACTGTCACTGTCTAACGTCTCATTTAGTGCTGTCCTGTGTTCATGGGCACTGTCGGTCCTCCCCTGCGAGATGTGGGGGGACGGGGACCTTCGACAGTTCCTGGCGCGTGGCAGGCACTCAGCAAGGAATTGCCGAATGAATACAGGAATGAAAAGACAGGAGCCAGCCAACCGTCTGCAGCTGATGCCCACAGCCAGCGGCGGAAAGGTGACTCCTCGGCCTGCCCCATGCATCCTGCCCTGGGGACAGTCATCACACCTGGGAGGCGGTGAGGTGGGGCAGGGACCCACCTGGAGAGCAGGGATGCGGACACAGTTCACCAGGTACGGTTTGTTGGTCTCCAGCAGGGAGACGAAGGTGAGGAGCTGGTGCCTGCTGCTCATCTTGTCCCTGTCGTCTGAAGGGTCAAGAGGACAGCTCAGGCCCACCCTGCCCACCCATCTTCCACTCATACCTTCTCCCACCCTTCCCCTAGGGGCTGCCTGTCCCACCTAGGCCATTTATCTGTCCACACATGCTCACGCACGTGGCAATAAAAAGTCTGTGACGTAGTTTTAAACATTTGGTTGTAATAAATACAACTTTGGCTACTTTGTGGCATTAAGAAATATTGTTAACTTTGTTAGGAGTGATAACCGATAACAGCACTGTGGCGGTGCTAAAAGCGTCATTATTATTATTACTAAATAACATGACACCTGCGACCTGCTTGAAAACGCTCCTTCAAAAAGGAAAAAAGTAAGGGGCAGAAGAAACAACGATGGCAAAATGCTGACGGCTACAGAACCCGGGCGAGGGTTTGTCACACTCTCTACTTGGATGACGTATAGAAATTTCCGAAATTAAAAAATTAAGGAAAAAACAATGTAATAATAGGAAGAGAGTTACCGGACCAGGAATTCACAGCAGTTAAAGTTTCAAATTCTATCTCTGAGGTTTCCAGTCATAAACCCCACCTTTTTGAGTTAACGTGTGCCATTTGACACGTATGCTCCTTTGTTTACAAATGAGAAGAGGAGCTGCGCCCCAGACTGACACACCCACGACCGGCCGCCAGGCTGCAGGAGCAAAGGCCCCATGGGAGCACGCAGGCCTGCACCCTGGGGGGGTTCCCGGCTGGGACCGGGCCTGGCCTGCAAGCAGCTGCTTGGCTGAGGTGGCCTTTATGGCACGGATGCGACTAGAAGGTGGTGTGAATCCACGGCCTGGACGCTGCCTGCCCACAGGCGCAGGCCTGCCCACGCCGCCATGGGGAGGGCAAGGCTCGGCGTGAACGTGCCAAGGCCGCCCAGCCAGGTCTGGTCCTGGGACCCGCCCCTACCCCGGCCCCCACCCCGCCGGCGGGTCCCACCTCAGTGGGCCCAGCAGTGATAGCGAGAGGCTTCTCTGTCCCACTTGGGCTCACGGTACCTCGGCTCCCTTCGCCGGCCCGGGCCTCCCACTCGTGCTCCTGCTCCTGGGCGTGCAGCACCTCGGGGCTGTTGGCGAAGACGCAAGTGGGGTGCAGCACGGTGCCCTGCTTGGCCTGGGTGTGGAAAATCTGGAGAGGCCGGGGACAGAGGACCTCAGCCCTGCTCCTCCCTGCTCTTCCCGGGACGTTTGTCCTCACCCTCCTCGTCTCAGCTCAGAAGTCCCCTCCACCAGGAAGCCCTGCCTGACCCCCGCCCGGGCTGGCCAGGGACTCCCCTGTGTTCCCTCAGCCCCTGCGCTCCCCATCCCCGCCGCAGCCACTCTGAATCCTCCATCTGGGAACAGGTTTGTCTCCCCACCAGACTGCGACCCCAAAAGGACAAGGCGAGGGTCGTTTCGGTCACAGTCATGTCCCCAGCACAGAGCAGGTGCTGGGAAGGTGCTGAATGACAAAACCCGCCCGGGGACGGGGAGCAGGAGGCCCACCTGGTCCGAGTCCTTGCGGCCGCTGTTGAAGGGGTCCGGGACGGCGAGCTGCGGGTAGAGGCCCCGGCCCATCAGCAGCTTGAGCAGGACCATCTGGTCCCGCGTCAGGGCCTGGGCTGAGCTGGTGGCCGCCTGCAGCTGCTCCAAGTTGTGCCGCAGCTTAAACTTCACGTCCTGGTGGGAACGTGGGGAAAGGCGGGGTGTTCCAAGGGCTTCTGGGGACTGGGGGGGCCAGGTCCTGGCCACGGAAACCTGTTTCCTGAGGTGAGGGCAGGGCTGTGTCCCCTCAGGCTCCCACTCTACCCCCGCCCACCCCAGGCACCAGACAGTCCCGCGGTGGCCCACCTGGATGTCCACGTTGTCGCCAGCCCCGCGGGAGGCTGTGCCTCCCTCGTCCTCGTCGCTGGAGCATCCGACCTGGCCCTCCTGCAGCCGCAGCACCTTGCGCCGGCGGCCCCCGCCCGCCTCGTGCTGGCGCTTCAGCCGGTGCAGTGCCTGGCGCTCCCTGCGCTGCTGCAGCCGCCGGGAGCTGTCCCCCGGCTCCCGGGCCTGGGCCCCAGCCAGCAGCCCGTGCTCCTCCAACAGCTCCTGGGCCGGCGAGTGAGGGACACAAGGCAGGTCGAGGGGGCTCTGGACCCAGACGCCGGTTCACGTCTGGGGCCTGCCACTTGCTGGCAAGTGACTTTGCCCTTCGGAGCCACAATTCTCCCCACGTGAAAAACGGGGCCTCTCCCAGTGCCTCCCTGCCCGGGCTGCTCGGGGCTGAAGTGGCCCACGTGAGCCTGTGCATGGCGCGGGCACGGTGGCTGCTTCGGCACTGTTGCTGGCCCACGGACGCCCAGGCTGCGGACGGGAGGGAGGGAGTGACGAGAGGGGACGACTCTTCCCCAGGGTCCTCCCTGAGGGCTCCTGTCACAGCTCCAACCTGCCCCTTCAGGCCACCCCAGCTCCGAGCTTCCTCCACTGGCGGCTGTCAGTGGGGTCCCTGATTGGCAGCAGCGTCTGGGACGCGGGAACCTGCCAAAATGCCAAGCCCTGCGCCCCACCGCGGAAAGCAAATCCGTCTCGGGAGTGAGGCGGGGCCTGGACTTAGCAGACCCGCAGGGGAGTGCGACACGTTACAGACCCCCTGCCCACAGCTCTGAGAACAGTCTTCGGGTGACCCTACTGGACTGGACCCAGTTTCTCGATGAGCCCTGATCAGCAAAGGGCGTGGGATATTGTGTGTGAAAGAAGAGGACCCCACCCCCCGTTTCACTAGGCTGCATCACGGCTCTAGAGAGTTGGAGACGCTGAGAGACGCGAGAACGGTCAGGACACCACTGGTCCCCGGCACAGGGACCCCTAAAACTGCATGAGAGGCCTTGGTGGGGTGGCCGCCCACCCTGGGCCTCAATCCGCCCATCTGCTACCGGCGTCCCCAGGGACGCCTGCGTTTTATTTCCACTGCACGGCGCACATGCGGCCACCAAGCGTGCAGCAGCAGATCTCACGCGCAAACGGGAAGACGTGCAATTTCAGCGCTGTATGCGAGGCGCACAACCACATGGCAACAGTGACCCTGGCGCCCGCGGGCTCCCCGTGCACGAACCCGTCCGTCCTCACAGGCTCACTGTGAGGCACGTGCTACTATCGTCCCCGGTTTCAGAGGGCGAGCTGAGGCCCAGAGGGGCACAGGGTCACACTGCTGGCAAACGGCAGAGCCGGGAGCTGCTGCTGGGACATCCAGCTCCGGATCTGGTTCCCAACCGCTGCCCTACGCTGCCTCCCAGCACCCGGTCCGCGGTCCGCGAGGGCAGCTCAGCACCCCTGCCCCAGAGGGCGCGGTTCTTCACAAGGATGTGGCCTGTGACAGCTGACCCTGTATGCCCCCTCCAGGGAGCCCCCTGGGATTTCTACCCTTCGCCCTGCCCACGGCACTCCCACGCTTGGTCGTCTGATGGCAGGAGGTGAGGGTAGGGTGGGCCCCTGACCGCTCTGTCAGAGAAGCTGGAGCATGCTCGCAGGCACTCACTCTGTCTCCCCCCAATCCCGGCCGCCCAGGTGTGTTCCTGGCCCTGTCTGCCTGGCCGGGCGGCCCACCTGGCCCCGAGCCTCACCTTGAACTGGCGCCGCAGGTTGGCCATCTCGTACAGCCGGTGCTCCTCGATGCCCCGGCGGCGGCACCACTTGCGTGAGTTTCCGCTCCGTTCGGACTTCACCTGGTTGGAGGTATAGACTCCAGGTGTCAGGGCCCGGCTGGCTGCGGGGGTGAGGGGAAGGGGGACTGACCCATCACCCAGACTGCCCCAGCATGGGCCCCAACATCAGCCACTGGGAGGATGCAAGGCCGGTGGGCAACCTGTCGGCCATCCTTGATACCTGCTTTCCTCCTTGCAGGTCTCAGCCCTACTGCCCCCTCTTACAGGAAGCCCTCCCTGACTACGCTGGGTCAGATACGCCCTCCGGGCTTTCTCAGCCCTCTGGGTTCCCCAGCACAGCCCATTCTGGGTGGCCACTGTCTAGGGATGGGCCTGTACCCTGCACTGGGCTGTGAGCCCCAGGAGGGCAGGGCCAGGTGGTTTTGATCACCACTGGGTCCCCAGCACTGCCTGGCACAGGGCCAGGCCCAGGTCAGGGGTTCAGGGAATGTGTGTTGGACACACAGGGGCCACTCTATGAGTCTGGACTTTCTCCAGGTGGCAGTAGTTGGAAGTGGCACTTCAGAAGCCCCCAGCTCCCCCTCGAGCCCAGGCCCTGCACGTGCTGGTCCTACAAGTGGTGCAGACAGGAGTCGGGGGCACCGCCGCCGGCCTCACCTGCACCCAGGTATTGAAGACATTGAAGAGTGTGAAGGGGTCCCCCTGATCACTCTCCAGGGGCCGCCGCGCTGCCACACACTCTGGGTTGCTCTGGGCACTGCGGGTGAAGGGCGACTGGACGCTGAGGGCGGCCGCGATGGTGAGCACAGGCTCCGCCAGGTGGAACGTGCAGCCCAGGATCAGCATCTTCCCTGGGGCAGGACCGGGATGAGTGCACCCTGCCCTCCTCCCTGCACCCTGTCCACAGAGGGCCTCAGAGCCATGCTCTGTGCTTTCCCACCACCGGACCTTGGGCAAGGCCTCAGTTTCCCCATCTGTAGGCTTGAGACAACCACAGTCCCCGCCTCCTCGGGCATGTGGTGGGCACTGTTAGTGATGGCTGCCACTGTCAGCAAGGCCACCGCCTGCCCGCTCTCCACTTCATCGCCGGCTCCCCCAGCCCCGCTCCCCGCCTTGTTGGCTTTATTTTCCTTCCCCACACTCCTTTTTGACCTGCCTCGGTAACATCCCTGTCCCTCTAGAATGTGACCTCCATGCGCACTATAACTTGGTCTGCCTGGCACGCGGCAGGCGCTGGCTTCTGTGCCTGCCTCAGGATGACCCTCTCCTGCCATCTTTGTTGAATTCCAGGTGGAAGCGGGGAAGATAGCGAGGAGGGAGGGGAGGAAGCGGGGACAGGGAAGAAGGGAGGACAGGGAGGGACAAAGACAAGGAAGCAGTAGGAATAGTATCCAGACGTGGTGAAAACCCGTCTCCCAGTGCTCAGGCCCTTGCCTGCCTGCCCGCCCCGGGCAGTGGCCTCTGTGTTACATGTCTGACTCATCCCCACTGGTCCCCTTGACTGCCTTGCTGGACTAAGGGCAGCGTCTATTAAATTGCTAAGAGGAACTGTGCTTCACCCTGTGAAATACTCGGAGGGCCTAACCGGTGACTGAGCCATCTGGGCCCAGAACCGCCCAGCAGTGAGTCATCTGTGTCTCCTGCTCTGCAGGCCTGGGGACCAACGGTGACAGCCTGGCTGGGGAGTGACCCCCAGCTCTGCCTGCCACATGAGCCTGAGCGAGCGACAGCCTTTCTCCGAGCCTCACTTCCTCATCTGGAAAGCCTGCGTCCCTCATCCCTATCCCTTGGGGGATGGGCGATGGCGTGCCCACCGTACTCGGCAGCCCGCGCCATCAAACCGAGGCCCGGTCACGCGCTGTTCCACACGCGCTGTGCAGGGCCCTCCACCCGCACCCCTGGCAGAGCCTCAGTTTCCTCATCTGCACTCGGGGGTGCCTGTAGGCCCTCCCCTCTCTGAATGGGAATGAAATGATATGGGATCCGTAGAGCCCTCCACAAGCATACAGGAAATGCTCGTGGAACTTTCTTTTTCTTCTCAGAAGACCTGATTCTCCTTGCTCTAGACCTGTTCCCTTCCAAAACAAACAGAAATAACCACTTCGCAGCCATGGGACGCCCCCAGAGCTGGTGGTCTCCACCTCCCATCCTCGCAGAAGCTCCGTCACTGCAGCGCTGGGGACTTTAATGTTAACATGGGCAGCTTTTGTTGAGCACCATGTTTGGGAAATGGTGTCACGGGCGGTGACGTGGAGCTGGGGATATTCTGTGGGCTGTGGATGTCGGGTAGAAATAGAATGTCCTGAGTCAGGAGAATCAGGCGAGACAAACGTGCCCGGGGCAGCAGGCTCCTCGGCGGGCGGGGATGACGCGGGGAGGAGGAAGAGGAAGAGGGCGGGAATCCTCATGACCGACGCAAGAGGGGTGCCAGGGCGAAGCTGGGAACGGGCTGTGCGGAGAAGGGTACCCCTTTGCTGACTGCTGTAACCCCGCCCCTAGAGCTGAGCTTGGCACAGAGAACCTTCGGGTAGAAATAGAATGTCCAGAGAAGGAGCAGGTCACTCAGAGTCACTTGGAGAGCAGGCATTGCCCCGCGCCCAGCCAGTGCCCTGTGCGATCACCCCGAGGCGGAGTCGCTCACCAATCACGACGTCCACGGGCAGCTGGGCCAACAGGGACCCGATGGGAGTGAGGGCCTCTGAGCTGTCCAGGGCGCCCTGGTCCTGGAGGTAGAGGATGGCTGTTTCCAGGCTGGCTGGTGGGGGCGGCTCGATGAAGGGGAAGGTTCGGGGGTCTCCCACGTTCATGCTCTTCATCTGGAATGAGAACCGAACCCCCCGGGATGGGACACAGGAGCCGCCGTGGAGAACTGAGAGGGCTCGGATCACAAACTTGTGGTACTTTAAGACACTCAAGGTCAAGCACCATGGTACAGAGGCAGGGGAG